TTAAAAAACCCTGCTATCCTATTAGATAATCGCTAATTAGTGGCCTGGCAGATGGCTATATTTTATAATCGCTTTCAGTCAATTGACATTACTAAGATTTATTATTATACTACATTATAATAGAACATTTTTTTTATTTTGAAATTTCAAAAACGCCGCCTCACCCCACGACCGGCCCTGAGTGTACAATGCATAACAATTTGAGGCGGTAATTGGATGTTTTCTTTCCAGGCCTACTTTGGAGACAAATGTTTCGAAACATAGTTTTATTGCATTGTCACAGTGATATAAAAAAAAAAAGATGTAAAAAGTCTTTAAACAGCACTGGTCCACCAGGTGGAATGGTGTATTTGCCAATTCATTTAATAGTTGTGAATTCTGTTGTTCTGCGGCGATCCAAAACACCAGCCAAAACAAAAAGAACCAGTTAAAATGGGGAAATATCTTAAACAAATCGCAAAAACCTTGATGGCACTTATATTTTGTTCAGTATACAACCTTTTCTGGACATCATTACTAATTCCTTGAGCTAAATGATTGGACTTCAGAATTGTACCTACTTAGCGTACAGGGAATATCTCAGACTTTCATGAGTTAGACAAACAGGATCAAATTTTTTTCTCTTCAAATCTTTGTGAACAAACATTTCACTCATTCTTTTCCCCTTGGAGTATTTTCCCTGAGCAGCTTTTAAAGTGGATGGTTTAATCCATTGACACTCCTTCCTTGTTTTGAATTTTCCTTCTTCTTCATTTACAGCTATTATGAGGGCGTTAATATGTTTACACACCTTCCACCCACACCAGCGACACAATTACATTCGCTTTTAACTTTACGTTCAGAGTCCAACTAGAAAAAAATATCCGTCAATTGTCGTGCGGCAGCAAAGTAAATACCTACTGTTAATATTACTGTATATGGTGTTTTCGAAACATTTGTTTGCCTAACTACCCGTGCTGTGATCTGACCAGCTCTTTCAACAATGGTTTGCCTCCAGTAATTTCTTTTCTTTCTTTTTTAGATGTTGAGCCACAGTTTACAGCAAAAATAGGTTTAAATCCACACTGAATTTCTACTTCTGTAAAATAACGGACATTTAGAAGATAACCTAAACATTTTTTTCACCTCAAATTATTTGATTATTTTTACTGTTTCATATAATATTTACGTAAGTCTCTATTTAGGAACGAAATTTAATTTTAATATAAATAAACAATAATGCAACAAGAAAAGAACGTGAAAAACTATAGTCTAATTTCTTAAACCGTACGGACTGCTACAAACCACTCACTAAGGCCGAATTTTTATTTAACATGCATGGTAAACAATGCGATCAAAGATTTGTTGCACCTCACGAAGTGCCAGAGTCCTTGTGTGGAGGCGCTGGAGTGCAATATTCGCTTCTCGCTTATATGCGACCACTTGGGAAGTTGTTTTGTAACGCCACTGTATATCGAATTCGCCTAAAAACGCCCGACCACAGAATATCGTACTCTATATTCTGTGGCCCGCTATGCTGTTCATCGACTAATCAAGTGGGGAGAACGTAACCTAAAATCTAAATTTAAAATCAAACACAATTTAATGATGTTTCCTACACGTTTATGTTCTGGAATAGAAAGATTATGTGGAACGTATATTAACAAATTGTGCATTAGTACAACAGCTGTTCATTGTCGTGAAGTAGAAGATCGTAGACTAATGTTACGATCAATGCCAGCCCTCGATGAAGGCACTGTTGGCGAAAAGGCAATAGATATTGATACACAATTGGCACAGTAAGTCATTAAATCAGCTTCTTAACTGAATTATAGCAATTGTATGTTTAGAAAAGGAGATATATTCCCCGATATTAACACACCTACTAGGTTATTTTACGGAATACCATTTAAAGATATTCCAATATGTAATATTAAAGTGTCCAAGAACAACACAATTTTATGTTTGACCGATGCGAAAGGTGAGTTATATAAGATTTACCTCTGAGAAACAATGTAATTCTTTCAGGTGTCCCTAAACTTACCAGGTCTTGCGGTGTCGAAGGTTTTAAACATACTAAAAAGGGTACAAACATTGCAGCCCAAGCAACTGCTATTAGTATTGGATTGGTAAGGATGTGTTAACGTGCTTCATACATTAGTAGAATACAATTTTAGCAAGCAAAGGAACAAGGTTATCGGACTGTTCGGGTGCGAGTTGGTGGTTTAGGTCCTGGGAGAATGGTATGTTGAATAAGCTGTTAATTTTGTTTGTATTTTTCACCTTTAAATTTTAGTCCGCAATAAAAGGGTTACAGATGTCCGGTTTGAATATTGCTTCTATAACAGATGGGACCAAAGTGTCTTGGAATCCGCCTAGACCTAGAAAAGCAAAAAAATTGTAGTTTATTTTTTTTACAATAGCATTATTAAATTCTTGTTAAAATAATTTTCAAATATTGTATTAGATGAATTGGACATGGCACCGGGTAAGTCTGATTTTAGTACCTACCTAACTTCCATCATGAAACAAATTCCGGGACGATGATTGGAGAACTTTATTCCTGCAGGAAAGATAGCCGTATTCCCATGATGGCTAAGTTTTGCAATTCTTGAGAACCTATAGGAAAATAGTATGGAAAAAGAATTCCAGTGCTCTACCGCTATGGGAAAACCAAACTCTATGTAAATGAAATCAAAAGTTATTGTCTCGGTTATTGTATTACTTAATTTATTCTGTATTCCACACTTAAATTCTACAAATTTTGATATTTACAAAAGTGGCCTACTAATTGTTGAAGAGCCTTTGCATCTTTTTTTGAAAATATTGAATTAAGTGGGGGATAACTACTAGAGTACCTTTTGCAGACTACTTAATCTCGCTTTTCTTTCTCTTGCCATTTTTTTTTAAGTCTTGCCATGTCTAAGGTTTAGAATTACAGTCATATGTATTTGGTATTTTAATAATACTTGCCCTTCGCCATGCATTCCAATTTTTCTTGAGTCCAGGGATTAAATTCAATTTCACTTCAATATTTTGCCCCTTTTTTTATATGAAAATTACTGCTAAATTTACTTTTTCGAAGTTGTTGGTTACTCCATAATAAAATGAATTTTTGTTTATTTGCGCCTCTGTCATTTGGTGTTCCACTAATAGAAATTTAACTTAGAAGTACCTAGGGGTACCTACTACGTCCATTTTTTAACGCATTTTCTAACTCATGTTGAAAGGCGCGATTCTGACCACTTTCTCCGCTCGAAGCCTTAACTACTGCATTTGGTAGGTGATAGCTCTGGCATCTCAACCAAGAAAAATCTTGACGATTAAGGTCGATTCTCATTAGAGCAGCACCGAGCGGCGCGGCGCTAGCAGCAAATTGTAGGGGGTATTCCCACTTATGCAGCATTTGGAAGCGTGGCGAAGCAGCGTTTATGTTTATCAGTTTAAGCTTTGAATATAATATATTCAAAGGTTTAAGTGAGAATGTATTCTTACACGCTCGAAAGAAGAGCCATCACTATGCCATGTACACGACGAAAAAAGAAGAAAAAGAAAGCGGACGAGTACAATTAATTTTTCTATTCTTTCTCCGTCCATAGCGAATCTACTAACACACGCAAGCTCAACACAAAAGATAAATAAATGCTTTTCACAAGCCGCAGCACCACGCCGATCTACTTCGCTCCTCGATTCCCACTTGTCCGTCTACACGCAGAGCGGCGCGTTTCAAAGCAGCGCCGCGTATTCCAATGTTTCCCGACGCGTTTCAAATTTGCTGCGCGGCACCGCGCCGCTCTGCTCTGCACCGCTCTGCCTAGGTGAAAACGGATCCACTTATTTACATGCGAACAATCGAGAGCAGCATTTCGCCGCGCCGCGCTGCTCTGCGCCGCACTGCTCGATGTACAATCTACAATGTTAACACAAAAATATAAGTAGTGTATTAACTTAATATTTGATTCTGGATTATGATAGGAGGGTGGGCAGGGTCCACGCGTACCTAGGCCTTAAAGTCGGGCCCTTTGCACTACCTCCCTGACTAGAGTGGAGTGTATTTTTTTATCATTTTATCAGTCATGTGGGCATACAGGGTAATGAGGAAGCTCACAAGGTAGCCCTGGAACCCACATAACACAAACATATTTCTAAAATGTTTAAGATTATTACATAAATGTTTCCATAATATCAGTATAACATTTGTCCCACTTTTATGGGATAAATCTTTTATAAACGTTCGTGCGCCAATATTGTATAAATAAGCATATTTATCTTTGTGTAATATTTATGCAACATTTATTCTAAACCATACATTACTTATTAATAAGAAACCAATAACGGTAAATCTAAAAAATAATACATTGTATGTAATAATAAAATCGACTACTTCCTTTTCCTGAATTTGGCCTGAGCTAACCATTGCCTTAACTCCGGTAGCACATCGCTTTCCGTAGCATTCTCTGTTTTTAAATTGCTGCGAATTGATGCTGGAAAAATAGTACATATTCCCAGTCAACATTGTAACGTAACCGATTCATAAATATAATAGTTAACTAGTAGTTCGTTATGTATCTAGTAACTTAAATGTTACATGCAAGTAACACAGAACGCCTAGCACTGTAACGGTGTAACGTAACGAATACGTCACGCTATGTAACATACATGTAGGTATCTATATGTTACATGAACGTAATAAGTAACACAACGGAATGTTACAACAAATAATCCAGTTATGTATCGTATATACAAACATACATTATATTAGAGTAATATGTAATGCAACTGAAGGTTTAAGCAAATATAACTCTCGCCAGGAAAGATTGCCGGTCACAGCACACCTTGTGTCAATTTACAATCTTTGTTTTTATTAAGATGCAAGCGACTTGTGGAATAGGATGGTGCTAATGTTAAACAAAAGTCTTTTCGTTCAAACATTGACACGATACTATCCCGGAAGTCGCTAGCACCTTACGAAAAACAGAGATTGTACATCGGCAATATTTCCTGGCGAGAGTTATATGTAACATTATGTTGCATGGGGGTTGTATGTAACGCAACTGAAGGCTACCAGTAGGGGGAGGTTGCCCAAGAGTACGCACTTAACATTTTATTGACATTATTAGGCATCCATTTTGTACTGCACCTTTAAACAAATTGAAAAACGGACACATACTATATTTACTTTAGTTTACTAAATACTATATTATGTTAATAAATGGTAATTACAACAAAACGAAACATATTTGTAGAGTGGCATTTGCGCACTCTTGGGAACAGTGCGCCTTAAGAGTGCGCAGTGACGTTCTTAAGAGTGCGCAAGACCCTAATTACAAAAATCACACAAATATTGCCCTCCTGAATAGTACGTGCAAGCTTCGTGCCACCAATGAGCACACTTTAAGCACTGTATCCAATCTTCATCGGGCGGTTCCACAAATTTTTCATCACAACCTGGGCAAAATACATCCTCTTCTGGTGTCTCTGTTTGTGACATTCGTACTGACTCTTTTTCTTTGGACTTCTTAGAGGATTTGGACGTAGATGGCACAATTTTGGAAACGTTTGCTACTTCACACTGCAATCGTCTCTTAACAGAATTGGCTTTTGAAGGTGGTGCAGGCGGTGTTATTGTAATGGAGTTTTTGAAAGGGGTGCTTGTTAAAATTTCAGACTTTTGGGCATTCCTCCGTCTCACATTGGAGGTTTCCATTTTTGGCAAGGGTCTAATTTGGTATGGTGTCACAATCTCATTACTTTTTTGGTTTTCGCCTTCTAATATTATGCTGGAAATGGGAACATTTTCCAACTGCACTTCACTCATGTCGATTGTAATCGGTGATTTTAATAGCTCAAACCTCGAAACGTTTGTTTGGTCTGGGAATTCAATTATCACTGGAACAGTGTCCACTATTGGGTTGTCTGACTTACTAATGGAATCGACTCTTGATTGCGCAGAGTGTTCGGTTTTTTCCTCATTTGACAGTTCTTCTGAGTTGACCAGAATAGAGTGCTTTAATGATGGATCATCACCTTCTTTCGCCAATGCAATGGAGCTGAGATATGGTTTATCACTAACTGCAGATGGTGCAAAATCTTCCTCTCCAAACACGTTAGGATTGTATGGCGATATACCTGTTGTGGAAAAAGAATTTGTGGCCTTCTCAATGTTTGATACTTTGTAATACGCTTTCCGAAATAATCCGGCAACTTCTGATTGAGTGATAACCTTACCCGGATGTGTGACAAGGTAATTATCACATACCTCACTATAGGCTGATTTTAAGGGGCCGAAAAATCCTTTATCTAATGGCTGAAGCCTATGACTCGAATGAGGCGGAAGCGATAGGAGGTGGATAAAATTCTCACGGCAGTAATTTACTACCGCCAGTGTTCGGTGAGATACGTGATTGTCTAGCAGCAGGAGAACTGGCTCTTCTGGACTTGGTTTAACACTCGATTTGAAATGTTGTATCCATACAAGGAACAAATCAGAGTTAATAAACCCAGAATCAGATATCATTCTCAGCGTTCCAGTTGGGGCATCTTTAAACAGATCTTCCTTCATTCTCTTTCTTGGGAAAATTAATGCCGGGGGAACGTATTGAAACAACACACTGCCGTTATTAATTGACCTCTTTCCGCACTTGCAACTTTACTAACAGCTCTTTTTCCTTTCTCACACATTATTCGAGGTAGTTTGTTCGGAACCGTACTAAGCCCAGTTTCGTCCATGTTATACACTCGCTTAGGAGGGAAATTATATTTGACATACAACTGCTTCAAGTTTAAAAAAAATCTCTCTATTTGAGGTTTATTAAACCCCATTATACGCCCCATAGAGCATTTTTCAGGTTGTCGAAGAGCCATTTTCTGTCTCTTACAGAAATGTCTAACCCATTTATCACCTGCCACTTTTTTGTCCATGTTAAACGGATGTGGTAAATTATTCATAATAGCATATTCAAAAGCAATGTGTTTGAGATCTTTTCGTGTTAGACCATAAAACCTTGTATCCATTTGTTTTACATATTCAGCTAACTGATTCTCCATGTCGTTATTAAAAACACATTTAAATCTTCCTAAGGATTGTGGGACTGTTCCAAGTTTCAATCGTTTCCGAATAGTGGATTCGGGAATATTCAATTCTCTAGATAACTGTCGTTTTGATTTACCATTTTCTATTTCCGTTCGAATTGTTTGCATTAAGTCTTCTGTAAATGCAAGTCTCCTCTCAGACTTCCTCACATAGTAATTAGCCATTCTCTGCAAAAAAACGAGATGTAGGTACCTTAAACTCTTAGGTATTCCCAAGAGTGCGCAGTGCGCAGTGCGTACTCTTGGGAATAGAAGTGTGCGTACTCTTGAGACAATGAATCGGTTTCCTGTTTTGATCTAATATTATTTAACCTTAGTAGGTAACAAAATTCAAGTTACACCTTATTCTGCGTGTAGCTAAAGCACTGATGTATGTAGTATATCATGCTATATATAGTTAATCCAGATACTTACCTCTCAAAGCCTTACTTCGAACACAAATAAAATTGTAATATTTACTGCTGTCTGTCACGATGCACCGTTAACGCGGGAAAACTAATCACGTGATGACTGATTGTTTCTGCACTAGTGCACTCCATCTTTAAATAGTTCATAATTTACAAAGTAGGTGTCAGGTAGTGTTCTAAATCCTTATATTATAAAATAAATTACTCGCGCACTCTTGGGAGAGTGCGTACTCTTAGGTAACTTCACCCTAATGTAAAATATAACTAAATGCAGCAGTGAAAAATAAAGATATATTCTTATAAAATAAAACAAAATAACAATTCCTAAAAACGTCGAATATTATCACAATAGATACATTTCCAATATTCATTAATAATATATAATAAAATTATTGATTTTGGAGAGGTTTTTCTCTTGACTGTCTCAGCTTGCTTAAGCGTAACCACTCACCCACCGCCAATTCAATGGCACTTTCGCTAGTGTCGGGGAAAGTTTGCCGAACGGCATCTAAAAGAAAGTTCTATAAGACAAACTGCGTTCCCACCAAAACAGTTTTCATGGTGTAAAAAATAATTGTTGCTTACTTTAAATATTATTTATCAATTCGGAACTTGACAATTTTTCAACATTAATTGCCTCTAACGAACACGAAAGTGTGGAATTTGCCACGTTACTAATTGAAGCACATTCATGGGTAGTATGTTATTGTAACAACATAACTTTGTTACCTTCTAGAGTCCTTTCAGGTACGTAAGTGATTATTACGTGTTTGGTATAGAACATTCCAACTTCTGTGTTACATATCATTTCGGTTACAATTGTAACATAACTTTGTTAAGTTCTGGAGCCCTTTCAGTTATGTAAGTAATTATTACGTGTTTGGTATGGAACGTTCCAACCTCTATGTTACCTACATATAATTTCAGTTACAACTGTAACATATCAATGTTACTTAGTAGAGCTCTTTCAGCTATACCTGAGAGTTACATGTTGACTGGGATGAGCTGATCAATTTGTAATATTACCAAACCTTACCTAATAATAATTCATACAGCTTCAAAGGTTTAAATTTAAGTTTACCCTTTGCCCCGTCGAAACTGTAATTCGTAACAAAGTCGTTGGAGGTTTCTTTTGAATTTACATTTGCCGTGGACAGGGTGACTAACTGAGATTCCAAATCAGTTAATTTACTTTGTAACTATTATAAATTGCTGTCGAAACACCCTTCGTTGAAATTCTGAATTATTGAAATTTAGTTTCAGTCGTATTCCACTGCACGAGCTACTATACACCTACCATCGTTTTTCACATTCATCTCGTCTAGTTTCCTCAGGATCAATGAAATATGGTCCATAATTTCTAAAACCATGAATGTAGGTACAAACAAACAAAACTAATTCATAATTTAACAATACATACTTATTGTATTGTATGGGATCTCGTCTACCATATATTATCGAATATAATATTGTTCTCATCGTTGTCACACATTGCTATTACCTTGGCTATTCCTGCAAAGAAATGTGTTAAGTTACAATAATTGAAGTAAGATTTTTCCGCACCTGTTGTTTGTTTGTCACCACTTTTAAACTTTTTTAGCTACCAATTCTTTGAAACTTTGGCGATGTAACAGAGTTAGAAATTTCCCCATCATCCTTGCTTGTACTAGCATCATGCTCGGTGAAGTTTTGTTTTGTTTTAGTCCCTCTTGACCCCTTTTCGATACTTTTTTGTTGAGCGGGGCATTGAGCACTGTTTGGTATGGTATTTATATTTTCAACTTCTTCACATTGTAGTTGTGTACGGTGAAAATCAATAACAATAAATAAGACTTTTGTTCACCTGTTGTTTGACTCCCACTCCTTTTTTGGTCTAAAAGGTAATAATTAAACACCTCAATTAAAACCTTAATAACCTATTTACTGGATAAACAGTGCTATTTAAGAAGTAGCCATTGGGATTTACGTATGTCGTTTTTCACTAAGCCTACTTTTAAATGACAAAATCTCTTCTGAAGGGCGCCTAATTTTATGCAACTAAAATAACTTCTTAAAACAAAAGATCTGGTTGATATTAATTGATTTGAATATTAGGTATCGTTTTGGCTTCCGTTCTATTTATTCAACTTCATTTTCATCATGTTTTTCGTTATATTTCTCTGTACTGCTAATTTGGTTTATCATTTCCATTTATTTCTTTTTTTATAAAATTCTAAAGATGAAACATTTTTATGATTATAACCACACTCAAAATACTTCGAACGGAAAATTTTCAGCTTATTTATTTTTTTATTCCCCTGTGCACCGATTATTGAAAATATTCTTTCAACATGGCCAAGTATTGCAAAAAAATTCACGGTAATAAGAGTGGAGTGATGATGTTTGCACGAGAACGCAATTTCACGTGTTTTTGTGTAAAGACCTAAATTTAAAATAGTTAAAACGTTGCACGTTGGTTCGTTCTCGATGGCGAAATTAAAAAAGAGAACAACTTGAGTATATATAAAAAAGATAGAGAATGTTCTCTCAAAAGTTCTCTTTAAAACTGATCCGTTGGCAACCCTATGTATTTCCAACTATTTTTTGCTGCACTCTTTTATTAACAGACTTCCCTTTCTCTTCTCATGCTTCTTTTAATGGGATACTGTGTAAAATTTCGGATTTTTGGCTTCTTCTTTTGCACGTCTTCACGTTAGATATCCTCCTTAATCTGTGCTTCTTGCATATGGACGAATTTGAATTGTGTCGTTTTGAAGGATCCAAAATAGTTTCTATCATAGGGTTGCATTTGGTGGCTCGAATAATGCGGTAGCGATTAAAGATAAATGGAGTTTACTTTGCTATTATTGATAACACCCAAACTACAATGCGAGGAATAGTTACTTGAGGAAAAGAATCGTAAAAATTCAAGTTTTTGAGAAAAATGGCAAAATGTCAATTTGCACCCAGGCAGAAGCATGACGTCGTAATCACGACATTTATTCGTAATCCAAGACGTCTACTTAACCAATAATATGACGTCTTGACGGCGAGAAAATGACGTGAACATGTCACAGGCCATCGACGTCATTTTTTAACGTATTTTAAACGTCCAAAGTGACCTACTTTGGACGTCAATGTTAACGTGATATGGACCATTCTTGGATGTTTACGTGACGTGGTATAAACTTCTTTTGGACGTGTACTTCTGACGTTATTTAGACGTCTATATCGCGTATTTCTGACCACTTTTTATATTATTGCCGTCTGCACGTATACTTCATTAAAAATTAGGCATGAAAAAATTTATTTAAAAAAAATTCAATACAATGTATAATCAAAATGTATAAAATGTGTACAGTGTCACAGGAAATACGAATGAAGTAATGGAAATGATACCCAGTAATCGGCTGCAAATGATGGAATGACAATGCACTTTGCTTGTATGTCAATATGAGAAATTATTTTCATATTGGTCGACAAATTTTTCATTTTGTATATATACAACTGTTTTGAATTAATGGGATAGTGATACAGTGAATCATATTTTTCAAATTCACTAACAATAAAAAAAGTATTCTTTCGATTGATGCATGCTAAAATATTTTCTATTTGTACAACTGTTTTCTGCTTTGTTAAGCAATAACAATCAGCGATGGAGTGTGATTTAACAGAAATTGTTATATCTTTCCAATGTATTTTTTTATATTGTCTGTAATTATCGTTAATAACAGATGTAGGGGGGAGAGGACCGTTAAAATGTTCAAATTTATATACAATATCAGGGTTAACAATAGGTTTAGAAATATTATTGAATGACATTTCATGTAAACGCCTACAAAGTTGAGCTAGTGGTCTGTTCGGGGTTCTTACTAACTGTTTAAGTTGACCTAGATAATTCTCAAATGGGAATGCGGAGTAATTATCTAAACAACCATAAGACTGAATATCGTCGGACACATGTGAAAGATAATGTACATTATAGACATAATATTCTATGCCATATATCTGCTCAACATGTTTTACAAACATGTTCAAAAGTTCTGAAACAACGGTGGAATTATGTATTGCAAGGAGATATGGAGACACGGCTATAGATATAGCAACATGGAGCAAAAGAAAATGTTCATATGCACCTAAGTCACTAGTATTTGCCAATATTAGTGGTCCATAATAAAGCAAGAATGATCGAAATTCAGTTCCTTTCCATCTTGATAGGTCCGATAAACTCCTAGGTTTCCTGTTTATTTCTGTTGGAATATGCAGTTTTATGAGAATTAGCTTTTGAGATAAAGTAGTAACTAATTGAGAATTTAAGCGAACCTTTAAATTGCCACTTATCCATGTGTGTAATAACTTTCTCATTACACCTAAGCAGATATTGTGTAAATAGTCTATCGGAAATTGTGACACCATACCAACAGAAAGTTTTAGTAGTGGAGACATCCCTAAATGATGATCTTCATCACTTTGTAAAACAAACGATTTGTCTGTTCTGCGTGTTGCATTTATTCCTTTGTAAACAACTTTTCCATTCACATAATCTCCACTTTCCATACATCGTTCACAACATGAGTAGCCACCGTGAGATTTTATGCACTTTATAAATGCTCGCGCAGGAGCATCACAAATAAAACTGTGAATTTTGATTTTATAAGTCACATCAAATAAATTTAATCCATTTGTAATTAACAATGAAAGCTCCTCAATAAAGTTCTTCAAATATGTGTCTAGCGGTTTAGGTTTAGAATCGCCGAGAAAAATTCCTATAGGGAATGGTGAAATTATGCTACTACTACTTTTAGTTAAACATAAAATGGGCCAAATTTGTGTATTTGTGCTTCGATACAGTGGGAGTCCGTCTATATTAAATGATAGTAAAATAGTATTGTTGTCAAATCTAGCACCATCTAGTATTAAATTATGTATGTTTTTGTCAATCCAAAATGATAATATTCACCAGTATCTAATGGCAGAGTATTAAGAGTTACAGGCGTTTTTAACAAGGTTTTACTACATAATGGCAATTGAGGATGTAATGGATGTAAAATGCCTAAAAGAGATGTAACACTTGAATGAGGCACTTTGCCAACTGTGGCCCATGACCGCAGCTTAATTGCCAAGTTGTCATCGTTTTCGTTAGGATTGGTACATAAAGTTTCAGGTGGCGTACTTTCCATGTGCTCGTCAATATTTTCAGAAATTAACTCAATTTCAATAGGTGGACAAATTTGTATATCACAATTTTGAGAAGACTGAGAACAGATACTGGAAGAATCATTTTCATCACTTCTATCATGCAAAAGATTTAGCGGACTATGTTCTATGATATTTGTGTTTGCCAAGTTATTACGATTAACAGGACAAATAGTTTCTTTATTTTCATTTAGCCTCTGTAAGGCTTTCTGGACTCTTCTATATATTTGTCGTGTGCCTACAATTTCTTTAGTTTTATAGGAACTTCTCTGCGACATGGTACACATTAATAACAAAAGTAAAATATATAAAAAAAAAGAACTATGATTAAAGTAATTGCACTTATCTAAATTCCTTGGTTACAGTTCTTCTTAGGTTGTAGGGAATTGGAAAGTCGTTGCGGGGCATGTTTTAGCCAAACCTTTATATGGGCAGAAATTTCTTCAGCTGTTGTGTTGGAAGTCGTTAATTGAACAGCCCCTTTAACAGTACATATTAATGATTTAAAATCACTTTCAATATTAACTTACGAATAATAACGGTTTTTACACGCAAATCGTTGAATGCCTTTTTATTTCCCCTTGACCCATAGAAACTATACAGCTGGGCAAGCTCATTGTTGAAAATATTTTTTTAAATAATGTTCGTTTTAGATCCAATGTCACGTCCGCCTAATGACGAGAAATATGCTGCCTAGAAAAAAATCACTAGGTAGTGGCATTTTCTTTTATTGAAGCGACTGGCTTACCAATTCTGCTAAATGTCCATCATCCATCAAATATGATTCTAATACGGTTAATGAATCAATTGAGCATAAAGGAAATTTTACAGGAATATCATCGGGTAAAGTGCCATGAACAACGGTTGTATTACTTTGTTTTTTTATCCATGACAGAATTTGGTTATTCTGTTCCTTGATATGTAATAGTAAGGGTACGACTACCTTAGAATCTGAAATAATATACGAAATATGTACCTGCAACTAATATTATGAATAAAAAAAACTTACCTAAATTTTCACGTTCTTCGCCACGTACCGCAAGTGGGGATCTTGTTGGAAGTCTTTGTCTGTTGATGGCATCAGCACATGATGATGGACTAGAGGGGATGGCATCAGCACATGATGATGGACTAGAGGGTATTGTTCGGAAACAATTTTTCTTATTGACATGGGTGGATGGACTACTCCGAGGTTCTGGTTGTGAGTAACTTTGTCTTGAACTTTGTTGATTAACTATAAGCAACAGTAGCTCAAAATCACAAAAAAACAGTAACTAATTGCTCACCTTTATCCAGCGAAAATCTTGGAGGCCGAGGTAATGTTGCAACGCTCTCCTCTTCGCTATCGTAAGACAGTCGTGGAGGCGGAACTCTTTTACGTTTTTCACTGAATTCAGTGTCCGACTGCACATCGGAGGTAACTTCGGCAGTTTTCAATTTCTGTCGTGCTTTAAGAAGATTGTCTAAAATAAAGAGTAAAATAAATACATTTGTTTAAACGAGGTGAGTCATGTGTACAATTCCAATACACAGGTAGTAACACTTTGCTTTTTCACTTTAGTTGTGGTTTGGATTAACAAAAAATTCTACCTGTTTCAAAAAAGATCCTCTTAACCGGGTATAACATCCAGGTATCGCCAGGTTCCTCTCCACTGCGTAGTGCACTTTCAAATTTTGTGGGTTGACTATAGGACGGCCAATGAACTCTCCGTTTCATTGGCGTGAGCCAAACTTTATTTACAATCGCGATCTCCCCCGCATCATTTTCGCCATCGCTTTCAAATTCGATACCAACGTACGCCATTTATTCTAACAGAAACATGCACATGCACAATAATAACCTCAAAGTTGAGTAAGTTCAAAATTTGCCTTACCTGTTAATAATACCTTCGAAGCTCAGTCAGTCAGTCAAATTCAGAGACTCTCTAATGTCTCTGGTCAAATTGCACGTCTTTGTTTATACGATTTCAATTATAATAGTCAAAAGCAAAAAAATAACCGCCACTTTTAGACGTATTCGACATTCGAGAGATCACAGGTTCAACTTCAGAACGCACCTGCGCACTAAGCACAAAGGATGTGGTAGTTGTCTGTCATAGGTGTATCATGTTTATGGTAGTAATTGCTTTAGCATTAAATACAATTAGCATTGTATGGTAGTATGTATGTAGTAATATGTTTGAGTTTTGAGGTACCACGAAATTCTATTGATATGAAAAATAATTGCAATTTTCAACGTCGTTCTGACGAACGCATGACGTTTTTCTGTGACGCCATAAGATACACGAAAATGGTACCTTTACACGACGTCGTACACAGGTCATAAGACGTCGATGACCGTAAATCACCTTTATATGGCGTCATAATGACGACATGCTTCTGCCTGGGAAGGGGTTCAAATTCTTATCACAGGTACCACTCACCTGATGTGGTAACCTTAGAAATTATTGATAGGGTTTCGCGAGGTTCTTGAAATTTAGGGGTTGCTATCCAGTTGGGTAAATGTAATCTAAGATTTCACCATTAAGCGACCGCATTAGTGGTGAGTTCTGCCGTTTCGATAGACACAGATAAGTTTAGCCCGGTGCTGGTAGGATTGTTATCGGTTAAATTTGGTGGGTTTGCTGGTGGCGGTCGTTTCAAACTCACATGGCAGCAGCGATGTTTAGGGGTTGGTGCGCTCATGAGGAGCATCTGCTGCAGAGCGTTACTTTTCGCCAGTGGTAATTCTATGCACATTTTTGACTCGTCGCTTTTTTTTTTCGCAATGTCTACCTGCACGAAAGTGGACATGATATAAAATTAGAGATTATAACGTTTAGGCAATTATATTACAAGCTTACAGGAGTCTTTGACATCTTAAAAAAACTACAAATGACTTTAGAAATTGTATGAAGGAACTGAATAATAATTTAGTTGTACAGAAAATCTAATTTGTAGATGTATTTTCTCGCAATCCATAAGTTTATTTGTAAGACAAATTGCAATAACAATTATTTACACGTCAATGATAAAAAATTGATTTGAAATTGACCAAGGTTTAGGCCACTTTATTTCAATCCATCTAAATGTACGATGTGTTGCCTATGTAAAAGATGTGGCACACGTACAAACTGAATATGTAGAAACAATATACATATCACGATACTTTAGCCACCGCGATCTATAAAAAAATTAAATATGGCAGCTTTGACATTTTAATGACCAATTAACTTAAGTGGGTGTATTGTTTTGATTTAAATTGTGCAGCTATTAATTTTAAGAATCTGAACATTGAAGATTGTAATAAGAAATGTAAGTACATCGCATGGTTTACTATTTATTAAGCGAAACTTTGCACTATGTCTTCCATTGATTAATTTGACCCAATGTTTAACCTTCTTTTAACATTTTTCTTTTCAATTCTCGTGGATTTCTTCTTGTGGAAGGAATCACATAGTCAATAATGTCACCTGCTGTATTATTAGTTTCATTGAGAAGTGGATCAGTTCCGTGAAATGTGTGACAAATTTGCACTGTGGTGCAGGTGGTTGTTTTATTATTTGTAGATTTATTCAAAGTTACAACTAAGCTACATACCTACTCTCGATCACAAGAGTTGTAGTAGGTTAATGCACATAATTGCAGTATGTAGTACACTTGTGCTTCTATGCTAAAGATGATAGTTTTAATAGGGGGTTGGTTTACGCACACCTTACATTAGATCATTTGTATACCCTGAGCTTGCCGCTAGCTATTTATGTCTGTTCTTAGTAATTGAATTGATATTTTCAATTTGAAGGCAACTTAAAATGTAATATTGGTGACAGAAACCATTATGATTGTAATACCTTATTCCTTGCGATTAGTTCACAGTGCTGTGTCTAGATGGGCTCGGGACCTTGATTTCATTTTGTGGACCCTATTTGCTTACACAGCACATTCTTACTACAAGGTGTTGAATGCTTCTCACATTTTATTATCAACATACCTACCTAGTTATTCCAAAAAAGTTCAAAAAACTCCCTTGAATTATGTAGATTTCCAGATGCGGTTTAATGCATTTAACTTTTAAGCCAGTGGATGGCACTAACCATTTCATCATTTTAGTTTAGGGAAATGCTCGGAATTCAACACATAGTGAAATATCCTCCTTCATTGACACATATACCTACTCATTTAGTTCTTTTTTTATGTTACGAGACTCGCGACAGTGTTACCCGAGGGGGCATCCTGTCATAAAATTGTGTACACCAGATATCCTAGTTTTTAGACAAGATAACCTCGGATATCCCGAGATATCTTCGGATATACTCGAACATCCATAGATATCCTCGAGGGGGATTGCGACGCGATTGTCAGATTTTAGAGGATTGCATTGTGATTGCATATGATTGTAAATGATTGCAGATGATTGTAGGCGATTTTGGGCGACTAAGAAAGATGTTTGGTAGCTGCTCAAGTTACTAGACACGGACATATATATCTAACCAGGAAACATATTCATTCATTTTAGCCACTAGTTAGTTGGTAACATAGGTACTTATATACACACAAATAAAAATATAAACAAATATTTATTATGGACTATGGTATTCTCTCAAGGATTTCAAAGATGGTGTGTGGGTACGAAATAACAAACCTCAAAACAAAGTTAAACAGATCCATTTTTTTTAAGATCTTGAACCTATTCCCTATGTTCAGCTTGTCCTGCCTTCTAAGACGAAAATAATAATAATAATGGGACCACTGGGACCATAAAAAATATATTTCTTTGCAACTATTTGAATATCTTGCTCTTGCCAAATGTAATCATCAAGGTCTCTTTTGAGAAACTTCATTTTATACGTATCACCATCTATAGTCTCTATGATCCTGTCAATGTGCCATGTATCGTATGCAGCAGCATAGTATTCTTCATCTTTTAAAGACAATCACAACCTGTTTTTTCCTCTTCTTCAGAAAAACATTCATTTTCCCTCGCATTTTCCGTTTCCCTTTTTTCTGAATAGCTTCCACTTTCAGAAGTTTCGCTATCTTTCATGTTTGGGGCCCTTTTTGACAGAAGTTTTATATTTCTAGTTCTATTCGTACTTGGTGCTGCTATTTTTGAACAACTCTGCTGAGAACTTTGCATACTTTAGCATCTGAGAGTTCTATCCGAGGATAACTTCCCTTTTTTATCGGAAAACAGCCAGCACAGTGTTGATTTTTTCACCAACAAATTTTTGTCCTTGATTTTTATTTTTAAAAGGCTAGGATCGAGACTAGGGTCTAATGTTTTCGAATTGCGACCAGTGTAGTCTGTGGTATTCAGTGAATCGTAGCTGGAAAGCGAATTTAATTCTTCTTCCATATCATTCAGCTCTTCAATGGTATCTTCATTGAATACATTATTTTGGGCTTGACAAAGCATCTTCTGATTCAGGACATTTGTATTCAAAATATTCTTCAGAGTGATCTTGTTGCAAGTCTTTGGACAGAATAAAATCGGTTTGTTCTAATGCTGTATTTTGAATTGGTTCCGAAAGATTCATGTCTAGTTCCCTTGATTTTGTTAAAGCATCACATTTTGCCTTTTCAAGTGTACCCTTAATAATTTCATGACTTGGAAGTACTTCATTTTGGCCAACAGAATTACAGCCAAGTTTCTTGTTTTCTTCTCGAGGAAAAACAAAATCATCTGTAAAGAACGTATTAAATATTAATAGCATAATATTACATCTACGTTAGGCTTTTTACATCTGTTTAATCAGTAAAAACATTTTTGATAAAAATGACCGTGAAAATATCACAAGAAACATTATAAAAATCTGTCAAGTTAAATTAGGAAATCGGCCTACCATTCAGTGTTGCCATAATTCTCAGCACGGCTAATTATTATAGATGGTTGTGCTACTGCATAGCCAAGGCAGGAAATTAATGGTTTCGTCAGCTCTCATTTTTTCAATCAACAGCAATAGCGCATGTGCATTTAACTCGACACAAGTGTAGGTGTTTAATGTTATCCAATTTTTTCCCAAAGTGTATGATTGGTTATTTTTTATCCAAGCTCTCCAAAGCCGAAGGAAGAAAGTAGAAAACCATATTAGATATATCCTTCTTTCCATCGACAATGTCCTATCCAAAAAACAATCTATAATGCTCCGGGTTAAAATTAAAAACTGTCTCGTCGCTTGAGCATCAACCTATTTGGACAGCAGATTTGTCACATGCGTAGCTGCTAATTTATCACTTATAATTGCACAAGAGATTTGTATTTTGCCGAGTAAATTTGGGTTGTTTAGGTAATGAATTCTGTTTAGGGATGGGCGATAACTGTTTTCACCTATCGATAAGTATCGGGTACTTACCTATCGATATATTTTACTTATCGATATGCCGATAATTATCGATGGTTATCGAAATATCGATAACTATCGAAATAATGTCGATAGTTATCGATATATCGATAGTTATCGATATATCGATAGTTATCGATATATCGATAGTTATCGATATGTCGATAGTTATCGATATAACGATAGTTATCGATATTTCGATAGTTATCGATATTTCGATAGTTATCGCTAGGGATGGGCGATAACTGTTTTCACCTATCGATATAAGTATCGGGTACTTACCTATCGATATATTTTACTTATCGATATGCCGATAATTATCGATAACTATCGAAATATCGATAACTATCGAAATATCGATAACTATCGATATGTCGATAGTTATCGATATATCGATAGTTATCGATATATCGATAGTTATCGATATATCGATAGTTATCGATATGTCGATAGTTATCGATATAACGATAGTTATCGATATGTCGATAGTTATCGATATGTCGATAGTTATCGCTAGGGATGGGCGATAACTGTTTTCACCTATCGATATAAGTATCGGGTACTTACTTATCGATATATTTTACTTATCGATATGCCGATAATTATCGAAATATCGATGGTTATCGATACACCGATAACTATCGAAAGATCGATAACTGCCGCTATATCGATAAGTTTCGGTATATCGATAGTTCTCGTTATGGCGATAGTTTTTAATGTATAGGTATCGATATAATATTAACGATAATTTTTTTGAAAGCGTGTCTAAAAACTGCATGAGTTTACTTTTATATTTTGGCGAAAGAGCCCGACAAGACAAGAGGGCTCTTTTAACAAAATATGAAAATAACCCAATGCAGTTCTTGCAACTTTAATGGAGTTACCATATTAAATGTGCAATTATCGCAGGGCTCTTTAGCTTTCTACAATGCAATTACCGCTGTAATTAAGCGGTAATTGCACGCCTCATTTGAGAGAAATATTCGACGTATCGATAGTTATCGACAGGGATAGTTATCGACAGGGATAGTTATCTTAT